TCCTACTTTCACAATGAGGTTGATTGTGTGTGTGTGTGCACACACGCGCAGGGCCTCAAAATTCAGGAATTCACACTGTGTTTTCTGACTTTAAATCCTATTTGCCATTATATGGAAACATGGGTTATGCCACATGGGCAAGATACATTCATATATTTTACCTTAATTATTTTTAAAATAATAGAATAGTTGCTCACCCATAATTAAAAGTCTCCCTTTGCCCCTTCCTTGCTGACTTCTGGGAGGGATTATGCAAATCAGAACTGAAACACATTAATTAGCTATGCATAATTACAACAGCAAACACTCTTTATTACTGCCCGTCTTCTAGTTGCTTGACACATATTCATTTAATTAATCACCGCAACAATGCTGGGAAGTCTGTCACTGGAGCCCGGGTAAATACTGCTACCACTCACTGAGTGAGAAGGAAATAAGGGGTTCTGGGGGACAGTTGAGGAGTTTGTTTCCTCCACCAGACAATGGCCAGCAAGGGTTCCTGTTTGGCAAAGGGACAGAGATGCTGGAGAAAAGAGACAGCAAATGGGAAGTAGAGATAAGTGTCCACCTTCATGAGGACACCCTTCAAAAGCAGCCAAGACCATGCCCTGAATTCGCTTCTCGCTCTTAGCTCTAGTGAGGAAAATACTGTCCTGAGGAAGGGGCTGTAGGGCACAAATAATTCATTTCTCAAGAATATTCTGTATCAAACAGTGAAGCTCTTCAGTATTATTTTCTAGAACAAGTGGTAAAGCTGACACGGTGACATCAGTCTTCAGTCCTGAGAGTGAAGCTGTATGGATACTGGGGGCCTCAGTTCTCATAAGCCAGTCAGCCAGGTATAAAGTAAGTTAGGATGCCTGACCTGAAAGTCTTGTCCAGACAGGTGTACACTATGTGTCTAGCATGGGTGGCCCATGATTGCGATTCTTCTGTTTATGAACGTGGACTGCTCACTCTCTAAAACAGTGGTTCTCAACCTTCCTCATGCCACGACCCTTTAATGCGATTCCTCATTTTGTGGTGACCCCCAATTTCATTGTTACAAATTGAACGTAATTAAAGCATAGTGATTAATCACAAAAACAATATGTAATTATATAAGACCATCAGAAAGATGGTCTTAGGCGACCCCTGTGAAAGGGTCGTTCGACCCCCAAAGGGGTCGCGACCCACAGGTTGAGAACCGGTGCTCTAAAACGACCTCCAGAATAACCCGTGGTTAAGCAGAGTTCTGTTTATTAACCTACTGCAGTAAGGAAGAGTGTCACCTAGACAGAGCCTTGTTTGTGTCTCGAGGAGGAAGACTAAGTTGGGTTAGTCCAGGCTTTGGAAGTCCAGGATCAGGTCGTTTAGGGGGCCTCTCCATTCAAGGACCTAATTAAGATAAGACAAATTCATCAGATAGACGTTTAGATGGGTGGACATAATGAGGTGAGGGTCTGGAAGTAGTTTTGATAAGAAAACAACTATGAAAATCTTTTTGTCTCTAAATTAAAGTCTTCATTGAAAATAAAAGCTAAATTGTTGGTCCGCGGTTGGACAAGGAGAGATTCTGGACAATGAATGATATGACTAACCTGGTCTGTGTATTGATGGGCTAAGTGCTGAGGGAGGGTCAGCCCACAGGGACACCTCC